TGCCATTTCTGATTGGTCAATGAGCAATCACACAGCCCCCACATCAGAAGTAGTCCAGGACCCTGTGGCCACACTAAAAGGCATGAAGGAAGAAAAATATAAGAAAAAACAGAGAAGAAAGGCTAGGAAGAACCCTAGAAGATCAGAGAGAGAAAAAGAGGTCAGCAACTTGCTTTGTGCATCTGCCCTGTCTTGAGCTTCCTCACAATATGTCTGCCTCACCACCTGGAGGTGATTCTTCCTGAAGAGGGGCATGTACCACTCTTGCATGACTGAGGTTTCTCCCATGAGCTTGGCTTTGGACTCTGCCAACACTATGCTCTCTTTTTCACCAATAGGAGAGAAAAAAAAGTATTTCAGAACAAAGGTTTAGACCTGAGAGTTCCCAAAGCTCTTAAAATCCCAAAGTGAGAAACACTGATGTCTCAGATAAACAGAACTTTCAGGTTATGTACTTTTGCAAACAGGTCAGCATGTTCCAAATCAAAGTGCCAAACTGCAAAGAAACTCTTCAAGTTTCCAGCTGCAGCATTTTTTCCTTCTGCCGCTTTGTAGTTAGCCATTCAACAAATACTTATTGGGCACCTATGGTGGCCGAGGCACTATGCCAAGCACTTAGCTTGATGATGCCATAAAGAGGCAGCCCCAACCCCACAGAGGCACCTGATCTTTCTTGAGGCCTATCCTAAGGCAAGTTGTCTTCACAGGTTGTAAGCAGCTTGGAGTGAGTGCAAAGAGCCTTGACAATTTGAATTCCAGTCTAACCATGCTACCCTGAATTTGCTAGTTATCCCAGGCTAGGCTTATCCATGAAATAAGGGAACAAGATGTCATGACACTTGGTGCATAGTAGGGGGTCAATAAATATTCACTGAATAAGTATTGAGCAAGTGCTGTTGAGAAAGCTGTACTTTTCCCATGATTTTCTTTTCAAAGTTTCAGAATTTCATTATCAATTTAGATCAAGCAGTAATGAGGATTATGTCCAAGTTGTGCTTGGGTCTGTTAGTATGCACTGAAGGCACATTTTGTTCCTTTCTGTGTCATATTTTTTTTTCCTTTTTTTTTTGTCTTTTTTCGTGTCCGGCAACAGATTGCAACCCTCAGTGTCGCGCCCGTACCGGACCGGGACCGGCAACGGGATCACAACCCTCGGTGTTGCGCCCGTACCTCGCTCAGCCAGTGAGCGGGAACCGGTCTATATGTGGGATCCGAACCCTCGGCGGGAGCGCGCTGCTGCACTCCCAAGCGGCGCACTGTAGCAGTGCGCCACCGGCCGGCCCTCTGTGTCATATTTTGAAGAGAAACTGTTTCAACAGTCAGTTTTAATTTTGTAGGAGGAAAGAGTCTATTCCCAGGTAACTGACCCTATTTTGACAGAGCATCTCGAGGTGTGAAATTGTTTGGGTTGTGTTCTAGGGAAGAGTAGTTCTGAGAGTTGACCTGAGGCAGCCCTCTAGGTATGTTTTGTGTCCCTCAGATCCTTTAATCCTCATCGTGGTAACTTAAGAGTGGCTGGTTTTCAAAAGCCAGACACAGTGCATGGTGTGGTCCTCAGTCCTCCAGAGCCATGCCAGCTAGCGTAAGCAGAGCTAATGGGCCAGCTGAGGACAGCTGCTCACGGCAGGCAGAGGCAGGGTTTGGCCTGCATGACGGTGTTGGGCTGGCCAAGGAAAGGCCTGGGCTCTGAGCGTGGTCTCTGTCTGGGGGAGTAAGCTGGGGGTGGGGGAGTCATGGCCTGCAGGCAGGCAGTGCAGCTAAAAGGTCCCCACAGAGAAAGGGGCGTTCAGGAGACACCTGTATCTGTGGCTTAGGACAGTTTGTGTTCTCCCTGCAGCCTCGCACAAGTCGTTAGTCTCTTTGGGTTTTGATAATCCATCCGGAAAGGTGCTCCTGAGGACCGAACCGAAAGTTAGTCTTAGCTGCTTGCATTGAGCTAGAGTTTCACAGGGGAACGTTTTCTTGAGGGAAGCCAATACAGTAGATGATGTGACAGTGAGAAATAATGGTGCCATGCTGGCTCACGGCTGCCACAACTCATAATTTATAGGCAGCTGGTGAAACATGATAAAACTCTTGACCTAAGCTGAAGCTCAGGTTAGATGGTGCCCTAACCAGAGGAGGCCCTTCCATGTGATAATTTGTACGAGAAGAGTGTGGACACGACCTGGTGCCCGGGGCTTGCTGCTCGTGCTTTAGGCATGGCACAGACAGAACGAGAAGATGCATTTAGTGGAAAGCTTGTTCTGATTGGTTCCAGGGGTGCTAGTTAGAGTGTGGCAGCTCGTGGGAATATGGACAGGCCTCAAACAACTGGAAGTCTGACCAGTTCAGTACCGCCCTGAGAGAGTGGGCTCTTGTGAGGAGGAGACAGCACCGTCTTTCTCAGCAGGTCAGTAATAATAAATCGCACTGGAGGCCCATTGTGGGAAAGTCACTCACCATTCTGATAGGGAAATAGGAAGTCTTGGAAATTCTTGTGGAAGTTTTAAAACGTTAAGTCTTAGGCAATATTTCATGTGATTACTTGTTTGGACATCAGCCATACCTCATCTGGAAATACTTCCTGAGTTGGTTGAGATGGATAACATCATAGCATAGCACACTTCCTGCAACCACTAGTCCCATGGCCACATTCTTCTTCTGACCCCTGGAAGGGGCCTCTTTGAATCAGGGGTCTGGGAAAGTGGACAAAGAGAAAACCAGTGTCAGCCTAATTGATCACGGGAATAATAGTTTAGGGTGCTGAGGGCCGTGGAGGCAATCATGGTAATGGGGCTGGATGTCCTGACCCCGCCACTGCAGAAGTCCCTTAAATTCTATAGATGAACAGTGAGAAAAGCTTCTGAGACACGGACAGCCCCATTACTGGTATATTTTTACTGCTTATACTTTTAATAAGTAGCAGTTTTTCCTGATGCTAAAAGTTACATGTGTTAAATATAAAAGGTTGGAAGATATTAAAAAGTATAAGAAAATAAAAAACACTTCCCTTGTGGATTTCTACAGAGAGATTTTTTTAATTTTAAGAAAGCAAATTTAAGTTTTAACTAAGGTTTTTTTTTTTTATTGTGACAAAATACACATAACATAAAATTTACCATCTTAATCATTTTTAAGCATACAGTTCCGTGGCATTAAGTACTTTCACACTGTTGTACGACCATCACCACCATCCATCTCCAGAACTTTTTTCCAGATTAAATGCCTTTAGTGCGCACTGTTGTTTGTTACAGATCCCAGGCAGTTTTGACAGTAGAGCCGGCATTTCATTAAGGTTGTATATAGGTAGCTGCACATCCCTGTTGTCTTATAACCATCTCTCTTTCCTCTTTGGGCTAAGGACCAGGAATGCTATATAGTGTGTCCTTTGCCCCTGTGGTCTCTGCCAGGAAACTTCATTTATACAAAACTCTAAGAGGGAAAGGGAGGGACCTTGGAGATCATCAGCCCTGTCCTTTTACAGGTGAGGAGCCCAAGGCCCAGCGAGGTGACAGGTCTCTCCCAACGCTGTGGACAGGTCAGGTCTCCTGACCCCCTTGCCCTGTGCTCATTGCTTCTCACCAGACCTCTACAGTGTTCACCCATCTCCCTTTGGAGCCTGGACCACAGGCTCCAGTTGACTTTCTGAGTCCGTGTCAGAGATAAAATGTGCTCTTAGAGACTTCAGAACTCTCTGTTGTTACAGTCTTCTCCTTCTTACTTCTGGAAATGTCACGTCCTTCTCTCAACTGCAATTAAGGGAAAGAGTCAAGTGCCCTTTGGTGCCTAAAGGAGAAAAATGGTCAGCAGTCACAGGAATCTGATCATAGAGACAAGGGGTCAAAATGCAGCATAAATCAGTGAGGTTGTTGTCATGAAATAGCAGAAGAGGATTCTTAGAAATATGCAGTGATAGGCTGCAGTCACTGGAGTCCTCTGATGAAGTAGAGCAGACCTCTGTGTTGCTCTTGGATAGCACAAGTCAATGAAGAAATTATGCACCTGTCATTAAATCATGAGTGCTACTAACTAACTGACATAGCTGGATAGTGATCGTCTGCAAGGTGGGAACTCGAGGACTCAGTAGGTAGTAAAGATTCCAGACATCACTGGTTTAATTGCATAGCACACCCAGTCTAGCCTCAGACCCGCCCTCCACACACATGACAGTCACATCCCTGGGGTGGTAGGAGAAGGCCTGACCCTCATTCTGAGGTCAGTTCTGTGGCCAAGGTCTATTCTTGCTGTTGCCTAAGGTCCTCCTGAGTTTGTGAACAAATTGCTCTCCAGCGTGCCTTGTCTACT